TGAATTAATAACAAACAGCAAAAATAAGGAAATTAAAATCAACGCATTGAAAAATTTTGTTACATCATCAGTGCGAGTTATTGGGATTTCAAATTAAGATCGTAGCGCCGCGGTGTCGAATAGCTCAACTAGGTACTTTCTAGTACATTGATTAATAACCTCACTTTTGTTTTGAACCTAATTTACATATGATTTACATTAGCTTGAATGTTTGTCTTGTGTTTACGGCTCTTAATGCAGGCCAAAATTCAATATAATCTATTTCGTTTACCTGATCCGAAATGGTCATATCCATACAACAGCCTAAACGGATCTTTTTCTTATATTTTTTTAAACTTTTCACAATAGGACATTGAAAAAAGGGTCAAGGCAGATATGTCCCTTATAATGTCTGTATTTGAATAACTTGTATGTGCAATAAATAAATAAATATTTCATAAATAACTCTTTATTTTTATTTATAAATAGGTAAAAATTGAATTAACAAAGTAACAAAACAACAAAATAACTTGACCACAAACCTGCCTATAATACTGGTAATTATAATTTAATAAAAACTTGACACTTTTTGCTGTTTGCTTGTCCATTTGTATGTCTGTCTCAGAAGAGTTTAATAATGGACCTATCTATTTTTACCTGGTATGCGCGCGCAACACGAGGCAATGCCTTTCTATTGGCTAACCAGTACAGGTGAGAAGTGTTCATTTTGTACGCTGAGTATCTCCTTGTCCTTGTTCATTGCCCGTGGTCTGACAAGAATAAAAGTACCTACGATTAATATTCAACTTGACATTACTTCACAAGTGACATTCGAAAATTGTTTTTGACAAATACGTTGCACAACATGCGGTCTTTCTCCTTCCTTTTTTATCCCGTGTAAATAAGAAGAACGGATTGCTATACGTAAGTCTAACATAACTTGGTACGTTTTGCCTCGTCTTGCGCAATGAACATTCTGTGTCTTTTTTTATCTAATGAAGTTTTCGTATAATTACCTCTTTGTCTGGTAAAATAGATAGGTCTATTGATTACAAGTATCACTACATTCATCACTTGTAGGTATCACTCTCACTAGTATCTTGATTTCTTTTTCTTTTGGCAAGTCTTTCAGCACACATGGAATCTGTTTTTTGACTGGGTTGATGGATCACTGTAGAAGAGAGCAAATTCTGGGATGGTACAGCTGTTTTTTTTTTCAATATCCAACCTCTACCTGTACTCTCACCTGTAAATAATAAAAACAGTCAATATATTTAAACAAAATATTTTAAAAATAGATAATAGGTACCTAATCAATGCCTGAGAGCAGGCCTAAAAGGGAGCTAGGGCACAAAAATATCCATTATGCTTGTTTACCTTAACACAAACTTCTTGCTTGAAATGCAGAGAAATACACTTTCATGAATTTGGTGACTGGTTTGCCAATACGAAGTTTCAAAATCCAGGCTTTTCTTCTCAACACTACTCTTTTCACATCTTCGTTTCCAAATAAACCGGTGGGCCTGTTTCAGGGGGAAATATGTGGAAACTCAACCCTTTGTCAGCATCTTTTTTAGCCCAAGATTTGCACTGAGGAACACAACAGTAGTGATTGGAGGTCATAATTGAATGTATTTGATATAATTTAAACTTAATAATTCACCAACACGCTTTAAAAACTCAAAAACACCTCAAAAATATTAACACAAATACAATGATAAACAATAGAAAAACATATGACAATGTACTACAAACTAGTTCCGTAATTTGCCGCTTATCTTGAAATCCCAATATCATTTATTTCACCGCTTATGCTTAGCTTAGGGATTCAGCTCCAGATACTTGATAGACCTTTTGTCAAAAATTGGTGTAACTGTGGCATATTCTGAATGCTTAGGGTTTGAAAATTCGGCAATAACTAACAACAAAGATGATGTGCCAGAACATAGTTTTATTCAGTTCGTGTTTGGCAATGCGGATTCTAATATCCGAACTATCGACGGACATGGTATAGGTACTTTCCATTCAATGGGAGGAATAATGTGCGTATCGCCGTCTAATATCGCAACTGTTCCGACGTTACAAAGACAAAATACTCGAGAGTTGTCAGCTGTTATAGGCAGTATACCATTACAAGTAAGATTGAATATTTAAATATATCCGAGACGTTATGTTGTTTTTATTTATAGTTTTTTTTAAAAAACACAAAGTCTGGACTGTCTACCATCGCAATGGACTGGGATGAAAATGATACAATCAACAGCTGCAATGTTTTGGCAGCCAACGCAGATTTACTTTGGATTATGGGTAGCGTCTTTCGTTTTCCATAGAATTTATGCAGCATTGCTCTTTGCTGCCGAAAAGTGTAAACAATATGAAAAGCCATGTATTATAACATTTGATCAACCCCTTTTTCAGTAAGCTGTGGACATAGTTACAGCTTCAAACAATAGTATATTGTTGTATTAGGAGTAGAAGCTTTACTTTTTTGTGTTGAAGCAGGTTTGCGAGCCGAACGAAGTGAGGCTTGCAATAATGCTGAAGCACAAAAAAGTGCTTCTACTCCGTATGCAACACGCTATTTTTTCTCCAAACGAATGGGGTAAGCCCGGGGGGTAGCTGAATGGTTGAGCGGCAGTAAAAGTACGAGCGGCACTAAAAGTACTTTTACTGCCGCTGCGGTTGCCTAGCAGCATAGAAATCAAATTTCTACCACCCCGACAGGTGTTAACCCGCTGGATTTGCCTAGCACCAAAGAAATTAGATTTCTAACAACTTGACAGGTGTGACGTTTTTTTGACGTTTGGAGAAAAAAGTAATATTGTAAGCTCAGTATAATAGTTAGACTAGGCGGCTTCCATACTTTAATGTCTTTCATGGGGAGTCTAGGTAACATTATGGCAGGAAGTGGGCTAGAAGAGTACGGTGTACGCTAAAAACACAGTGCCCCATTTATTGAGCGGTCATGCCTACTCAAGGGCCCTGCGTGCACATTTCTTAGTTCATGAAGTATTGAGCGTAATAATATTGAGAGACCTTTCGTTAACTGAAAAAAATATTGAAATTTTAGTCAATCTTTATAAAAATCCAGTGCTGTATGAACTTGAAAACAATATCCTACTGAAGCAGATTGAAGCCCAAATAGAGGAAAAATTAGATACAAAGTTAGCTGGACAGGAAAACTGTGGGTTAATTACTTAAAGTTAGTTAGTCTAATGAAACTCTTTATTATGGCTGAACGATCTGATGTCTGGTCGCTTCACATGTATTGTATCAAACTTATGATCCCTTATATTCTATGCTACAGGCCATCTAAATTATTGCAATTATGAGCAAAATGTGCACATCTATATGTTATTCAAATGCAGAAATTAGAATCTATGGATTCCAGTGAATATAATTATTTTGCTACCAAAGGAATGTTTACAATTCGTAGAACAGACAAATTTTGGTCCGGAACCTGGAGCGATATGATAATCGAGCAATACCTAATGAGAGCCATGAAAACCCAGGGTGGATTGACCCAAGGCCGAGAACTCATAGATTCTTCTTTAGCTAGATGGATTTCTAGCATGTCGTCATGTATTCTTGTTTGTAATGCCTTAGACGTCTTTGCTGGAGTAAGATGATCATCATCTAATCAACATGTTGAGTTGAGTAAGTCTCGTTTCCAACGCGACAAGATCTACTTTGAATAGTTTCATACTTGGTTAGAGGATCATGAACCCTTCAAATGTTATACTGAATTCATATCTCTTTCATCTGGTATTATCGCATCTTATCTGTTAATTGTGATAAAGTTCGTGACATTGGCGAAAACATCTTGAAGAAAAATATTCATAAAAAATTTACGGAAATACAATATAAAAAGTCAGAAAATATTAAAAACTTTGCCCAAATGAGCAACAGTATTAAAATTTGCCACAAGTGCGCATGGGTGCCCGGTGGGGGGGGGGGGGGGCAGGGGGGGCATAACTGACGAAAAGGGAGATCTACTACCTATTACCACAACCCAAGATCCAGCACCCCCAGATTTGTTGAAATTAATTTTTTTGCAATTGCAAAGAAAGCAATTGTTTAAAGAATTGTTCGTACAGAAAAATTGGACTAAAATGTGCTGTAAAATGTGGTCAGTGCTACGGTGTAAGCTGTTATAATGCCATAATACACGACGACGAAGAAGACGATTTATAAAGTAGAATTAAATATATTTGAATCTCTACCTATCTAGGTTCCTGCCCAAATGTTTTTCTTGTCATATGTTTTATTTCTCCCTCTCAAAAAAATAGTTCTACACAAAAAAAAAATATTTCATTTTTTTCCAGATGTTTTGAAAAATTCTATATTACCAAATAAAATAAATGTCAATAACTTTTTCGTTTTCCAGCTTATGGGCTTCAAATTTCTTTCATTTTAAATAACTTTTGAATCTCCACAGACAAGTTCTCATGAGTTTTTTTGATATAATTCATACTTTACGAAATATTCGATAAATTCGAAAAAAATCAAGATTACGGCCATTTTTTCCCAAGTTCCACCACTGGGAAAAAGTGCGATTTTTGAGGTATTAATTTAGACCCCATTGAATACTCATTTCCGCAGAGATCACTTTGTTATTAATTTTTTTTACCCCAACCACCCATTTTGACTAGCCTGAGAGCCAAAGAAAATAGAATATTTTACCGGGGTGGTGTTAACGATCAAATCTCTCCCTTGGATGCGCCACTGCCATCTCCAAATTATAATATTTATAATTCTAATAAAATAAACGAAAAAAAATTGTACCATTTTAGTGCAGTACCTATCTATACCCAAGGTTTCAGTCGAGTTATTTAGTAGGAATGTCTGTGTTTGTGTTGTGTTAAAAAAAAACCCTTGAAGATGAAAACTCTTTTAAAAAAAAAAATACTTCAAACATTAAATTAGTGTTTTTCTAATTAGTATAATTTATTACCAAAATAAAACAGGGTAAGTTTATTATGAGCACATTTTACATTAACTCTAAACTCACATTTTTTTAGAATCCAATCTATCATGACTTTACCGGTTGCCTTGCTCATCGCCAGCTACAAACAAGAAGTCAATCAGCTCGAAATTCGCGATTTACTGGACGAAACCGACACCTCGCAATTGGAAACTTTGGCTTGCAAATGCAAACTGCATCTAAACAGGAAGCAACTGGTACCGCCGACCAAAGATTGCCTGTTTGAAGGAGTTACGCCTACTTCTGATCTAGGTTCTGATATTTCTGAGAGCACCAACTCGAGTGGGTTGGTTTATACGACAAAATCTTATTCACTGTTTTCCAAAAAGGATCAGATAGAACATGTTCAAACTAATGACGATATTGCTGAACATCTGAAAGTGGTTTTGGATCTGATTGAAAATGTAAATGTACGCTTTACAAATAGCTATTTGTTTAAGGAAAATGAAGAGGTATTTTATTAATTTTTTTGGTTGTTTAGGTATTTATTGTTTTTGCTTTAGATTAAAATAAATTATCAAGGGCGTGATATTTTGGAGTTGGGCAAAAATCTACAAGGAGGTTTTCACGTGACGCACCCGGCAACTGGTAACGGTTATTCGCCTTCATTTTATGGTTGTCTTGAAAAAGTTTGCACCATAGACGATTGTGGATTTATCGATGTTTTTCCATTGAGATTGGCAAATTGTTTATCGAAAATATAAGAACAAACTCAATAGTTTATTGGGTATAAGACACTATATCATTGACTAATATTTCATTTTTGAATCAAGCCAAAAAATTGTACACTTAGTTCATGTTTATTTATTTTTATGTAAAATGTTTCAAATTATCAATTGTGACAATGCTTTATGTGATTGGTTTTATCCAAAGAGTGTTTATTATAAGACTAGATATTTTACTATTTATTAGTAACAATAATAATTAATGTGTAATATTGTCCTAAGCTATTTTTTTGATTTTTGTAATATTTTATATTGAATTACAAAAGTTTTTATCGAAGTGTGTTGTTTTTCTTTTAAATTTTCTATAGGTTTTTGAGATAAAATTATTGGTGCATTTCTGATGTAAATGGGGAACATCCTTAAGGGAGCAATGTGCTGTTAAGATATCAATCACATTATACCATCGTATCATCAAACTCTTGCTGAAAATTAATTAAATTTTCGAATATTAATAGAATAGAGACCGAAGACAATATAAAGAGAAGAATGGACCAATTCTAGCGGTCCGGTGTCCGGTCTAGTGAGAACAATAGGTCCTCTCGTAGTATTAGAGGGCGGTCTATATGACGGGCTAATGTAATCCGCAAATTTTCATATTTCGAGAAATGTTATTATTTTTTTTATTGTGAAACTTCGCGACGCGATAAAAAGTCATAGAATAATGCAGCGCTTTGCAGAAAAACGCCCTGGCGCTATTGAAAAATCTCCTCTCCTAGTCAAACAAAAGGGACAAGGGAAAAGAATTATCAGAAGAATTACAATTGAAACAAAAGCCAAGCAAAACGCCGCAAACAATAAGAAATTAAGTAAAGTCGGGTCCTTTAAAAAGTACCGGGAAAAGACAATAGGTTTCGTATATACACCAAAATACAATAGGAAAAAGGAGCCTGGGCAAAAAGTCGTCAAGTTGAGTAGAAATGCGAGTGCGGGGTTTGAACTATGGGAGCGATTTTTTTCAAATTGAAACTATTCTTTTAGGTTTGAGGTTGAATTTATGAGTGAAAATTGGAGATAAAGACTATATTGTTCTCTAATGGATGTATAGAAATGATATGTAGATATCAGTATTATTCCCTGTTGATGAATATATATTATTCTTCCAATTTCCTATATTTTCCACTTTTTTTCTCTTTTCGAGGTACATTTTCAAAAAAAAACTTTTATTACCTTGAGTTAAGTTGAGTTGAACACAGAACAGAATCTGGTATGCTGCTAACAGTTTCTTCAAGAGAAGACCCAACAGACAACGATCCAAGATATCTTATAGATAGAATAGACTTATTTCCATGTAAAGGTAGAAACATCTCTGAAGGTGATAATGCTGTATGTTTAGTTGCAGTTATTTTGGTTCTGTTGGTTCTCTACTAAGCTCTACTTCACGTTGGTGCCCGGAATGCGACTCATTGTAGAGAACCAACGAATACACACGCGGACTAACAACATCGCTGAAGATGTATCAACATTTTCTCAAATGGTTCGATTATTTTGGCTTTTTCAGAAAATCGCTGCATCATAGAAATTAATAATTCGAAGCCGTTTTGGCTTCAACAATCCCAACAACATTCAGTATTTGGCCAACTAAATGGGATTCAATAAAAAACTTTCAATTGTTCAAACATGTGGAAGTCTTTCAATGTCTTATCAAAGCCCTGAGCATCGATCCAACGAATGTTGAAGGATGTGGCACGTGGTGCCCTCTACGTCAACAGTGGCAACTTTTATGTTTTGACAGGTGATAATTCAATATTTTCCGGCCACTAAACCAACGAAATACCAATCCTAAATCACAACCCAATACTAAACCCACACTCATTACTTTTCAGTAGACCCCTTTTGAACTGCATCCAAAACCAGGGCGTCAGCATCAGGGGGATGAGCCTTGGCATGTACTCACTGATCGACCGTTCTGGTCCTTCAACTCATATGAACAGGGAGAGTTGGTTTTGGAAATGATGAAAGAGCCAGACAATTTTGGGGCAAGCTTAGATGTGAAATTCTTAGCACCATCAGAGAGATGGTAATTTCTCTTCCAAACTGATTAGTCCACAACAAAACGTTCATCACGTTGGCGCAGATCGTAGCCGTGCCGTGATTTTTCATAGGCTTGCATCAATTTCTTGTGAATATCGCTGAACAGTTCTATCAAATCGCGGGAGCATGCCAAGGGATCGAAGTTATTTGTCAAAGTCGGGGAAACGTGGGAAACGTGATTGCTGTGAGGAAGATGAAGTTCTCTTCTAAAAAACATCGAAGTTTGGATTAAAACCGGTTACGTCGTATCTAGCAGATCGGATAACGCATCCAGCCTTGGCGAGAAATGTTTCCCAATGTCGATGATCCTGTTTCACATAGCTTGTTAAAATGGTCTTAAGCACTCGATGTACCCGTTCAACAGGGTTGGCTTGAGCATGATAGTTTGCAGTGTATTTTAAGTTAAATCCATAACCAGCGAGAAAAGTTTACTGCGAAACTGAGGACCATTATCGGCTATAATTTTTTGAGGTACCCCGTAAACAAGGATGGACAGCTTGACACTTTCTTCTTCATGCCCAGGTACCACTGATCTTTTATTTGGTAAGACGAAACGTCATCGGGCAACAACTGAGAAGTATCAACAGCATCGATAATTGGGACAAAACGTAATAAAGTGTCGGGAATGACATTGTCCTTACCCTTGCGATGGATGATTTCAAAATCATATTGCTGCAAGCGAACGGCCCATCGAGCAATACGACCTACCGGATCCTTGATGGAATTAAGCCACTTAGGGCTATAGTGGTCAGAGATCACGGTGAATCTAGTAGATACCCTTAATGTAAGGGGCAACTTCTCGATTGCAAATAGAACGGCAAGGCGCTCCTTCTGGATCGTTATGTGTACTTTCTTTCGTTCTTGGTGAGTTATCGACTCTCAGCTAGCATATTACATGCTCAGCTTCGTCATCTATCTGAATTAACACAGCACCAAGCCCAAAGTCAGACGCATCACATTGGACGATGAAGGGTTTATCGAAATCTGGACACGACAGGAGCCTTAACTAAATGTTCTTTGATAGTGCAAAAGGCAATCTCGCAAGAATCATCCCAGATAAATTTGACATTTTTCCTTGTCAAGGCACTAAAGCGAGCTATAAGGGTCCAAAATTTTGGGACGAAGCGCTGATACCAACAGGCAAGGATAGGGTTGTTAAGAATAGCCTCTATCTTATCAGAATCGACCAGAAGGTCCGAAGAATTCACCACGTATCCCAGATATTTCGATTCTGGCTTGCAGAAAACGCCTTTGTCCTTATTTAGGGTTAGTCCGGCGCGAGTCAACCGATTGATGACCTCACTATTATGTTCTTCGTATGTAGATGTACAAATTATCACGTAGACGACGAATGAAGATTCCATCTCGACACCAATAACGCGATCGATCAGCCGCTGCCATACAGCTGGCGCATTAGTTAAGCCAAACGGCATACGCCTAAATTGAAATAAACTGCGTAAAAGCGATCAGAGGTTTTGATTCCTCAGAAATTGGAATTTGCCAGTACGTTGACTCAATGTCCAACGTGCTGAGAAAACGAGCATCCCGCAATTTGTCAAGCGTAGCTGAGACATAAGGTATGGGAATTATGGGATAGGAGTCGGGAACCGTTACACGAATAAGTGTAACATTAAGAGTAACATTTTTTCTTGATCATCACGATCGGAGAAGACCAAGGCGAGTTAGTGCAACCAACTCCTTGACCTATCTTAGAAAATGTGGTTTCGATCAGCTCATCCAGAATACGCTGCTGATCGGTTGTGAGGCTATTCCGACTCTGAATAGCCGACACTTGAGGAGAAGAGTCCTGGTCATTACGACCATTACAAAAATGCCATTCGCCTGCATGGAGGTCTGGCACTATACCCATGCGACACCAAAAATCTATTCCGATAAGAGAATGCGGCAATGTCGGAACGACCAGTGCATCAATGAAAATAAGGCGATCTCGCAATTGAAAGCGAGACCGAACCGAACCGATAACATCACACGTAGGTATCTCCATTAGCAAGAGTGCACTGCAATTGTTGCGGATTGAGTTTGCATAGAGACTTCAGAACTTTCCAACCTCTATCACCAATGATGGTTCTAGAGGCACCACTATCCAATAACCCAAGAAGTGATAGACCGAAAACACGGACTGTCAAGTAGGGACGCTCATCGTTTTTGACATGAGAAAGAACGTAGTCCAACAAAATCTGAGATCGAAGGGTGGCCTCATTAGTTGTTACTTGAAGGCAAGATGCTCGGCCTAAGTTCTCACCTTCTGTTCGTTTTTTGAATACGACATTGACGCTATAGTTGGGCTTATGGTAGGCTAATTCTAGTTCGATTTAATGTCTATAGTTGGTTGGAGGAGGAACAAATCTTTGAATGTGAGACTCTGTCTCTTCTATAGCTCAAGCAAGGCGAGTTATTTCCTGGACAGATACAAAATTTTGGGTGGCCAAACAAGATTGAAGGTAGGGTAGTAAGTTACGACGCACCAACTGGAGTTTAGTTGACTCAGAAGGAATTTGAGGCAATTTGCGGAACAAATTTTCCATGGCGACAACAAAACCTATGACTTTCTCCTGAGTTCTTCGCCGAATCTCATCCAGAATGAAAACTCGTAGTCATATGGCATAAAGGCATCACGGAGATGACCGACCAAGTTATCTAAACTACTACAAACACCAGTTCGATGCCAAAGAAGTTCTGGAGCAGAGCGGAGTAACTATTCTTTGGAAACTCCTCTAGAAAAACGCATCTCTTCGACTCTTTCTAAAAAGTTCAACAAACTTCCCTGACCGTCATATTTTAGGGACAATCTACTAATGTCCTTGAAACTAGGAGTATGTGGCTCATATGACTGAGAAAAGGACGGGCCACGGACCATTGCAGTTCCTCCATTCTCCTGGCAAAACCTGGAACTGGATCAGTTGGTGCAATTGTCTTATGCTGAGTGG